AAGGGTAAAAATATTCCAAGCTTTTAAAGTCGAACACCAAAACCCATTAGATGCGTCAGAACGGTTGTGTGATTGGAATAGTGAGCATACGGCAACCAAATGACACACGTCTCTATGTTCAATCAAATAACATTACTACTACTATTACTGCACTGCAAATAGAGGCTTAAATAAGTAATGTGACGTTACTGAAATAACAATAAGTCTGGAATAAGATGGAATTTGGAAAGCAGTTTAAGTAACTTTAAATAGACTTGCACGTGAAGAAACATCAATTCGCTTAGAAGGTAGCACGTCCCTTAGGTAACGAAAACCATCGGTAAACAGACATTAGAAAACGACCCTAAACCACCGCGAGCACAGCTGTACGAAATAAACGCGAAGGTGCTTAACGCTGTTATCAATAAATGTAAGCCAATGAATCTACACAATCTCCTGTGTTTGAGTGCATGTCTTGTAGGAAAGTAGGATAAAGTACTCATGATACTGATCACTTTGGGGAAGAGCAGAAATAACAAACCTTTAGGCCTGTTTCTGTTCCACAGATTGTTGAGGAAATTGTTGTGTGAGTCGATCATGGCGGAGGCCTCTGTTGTACCGAAGGCTACAAAAGGAGGAGGCGCATCTGGACCGGTTCGGTGAGAGCGCCGTGTTCCCTTGGCATCCTGAGAATCAGCATGGATGCATAATTTTGCAGAATTTAAGTGTTTTGACCGGACTGCGTACGATAGAGCAGGGTACAAATAATGACAGATCACATGATACTAAGCGAGGGGATAAAGAACTGAATTAGACCAAACAAATTTAAAAAATGAAGTTGTTAAGATGTGAAGAGAAAAGAGAACCCAGAGGGACAAATTCTCCAATCAAGCAAATCCAATTAAAGCTCAGCTGCATCATTCGACTGTATTTTGGCAAAAGCAACAAATTTTGATAGTTGTTGTGAGCATACAAACAAACGAAGCACATACACGCACAAACATGAACTCTGAATAGCCCAAACAAACCCTTTGAATGGATCAGTTAGCATAGTTTTAGGATAGCGAAAATAACGTCAAGCCCAAATTAGAGGTTATGGAAACCAAATCCACTTATCTGGTGCGTGTGATTCTATTCGATAATTAGATGTGGTCCCCGAATGAATGGTCGGATTGCATGAAGTTCCATGCCTCATTGCAACGTTTTCGAAGGAAATTCGAACAAATAGACTCAGAATGAAAGCCAAATTGAAGTAAGAATCCTACCCTTGTGAGAGCCCATTCTCGACAAAGCAGGTCGACGGAACCCTGGAGAACCTCAAAATTGCTGCGTCGGAGGATGAGGAAACCAACGCGAATCTGCACGCGACCAATCAGACGAATTTTAGTTCCTGGTGGAGTGTGGGGCCTGAAAAGAAATATACGCTCACCATAGATCTTACTGAAGGTAATGGTCGCAGATCCAAGGAAACGGAACTTCACCCAAATTTTTACGGTTAAATGGGTACAATCATCACTGTC